CGCTCTATGCTTGATTGTCTGTTATTATTTTGAAACAAAGATAATCACTATGCAATTGCATTACACAGCAATTGCTTCCTATTATTATAATGTAAATGTAAATGAAAGTCATGTAACATACATGTTATTTTACATAAATTAAGATAATGAGACATATAACACTAATAAACATTTTCTTTCTCATTAAGTCGCACCCGTATCGCATATTAATAAAGTTTGCAAACATATTTATTAGTCATAAATATATCTTCGACTAATGATATTTAACTATCTTTCTTTCATTTCTATGTTTAATCGACAAGCTTTCGTAACATCAAATTCTTTTATTCCCACGTTTTATTATCGTACTTAATTTTAACTTTATGTAAATTACAAAACGCACAGTGTGCGGAGAGACAAGAAATTTTTACACAAATTGCAGCCCCCTTTGTTAGGCAAAAGAATTCGAGTGAACTGCTACGCAAACTTTGAACGTGGTCAGTAACTTATCCGGTTCGGATCAGATAATGGCGGGCATAGGAACCAGCCTCTGTCTACCAATTCACGTTCCGTAGAACTCGAATCGCATAATGCGGCGAACCGTTTCTCTTCTCTTCCATTTTCCTCTGCTGTTACTTCTTTTTATTTTTGGTCCGCAACGCTCTTCTGAATTCACGGGGTGCCGATCATCCCTGAAAGCCCAGACTCCTAGACGCGAGTTAAGTGAGACGTGGGTAACTTATAAAAGAAGTCACAGCAAAGTTTATACCCTAAAAATTATGCAGTCCATTCTCGTTGAGGGAAGCAGAGATTTATCGCGCGCACAAAACACGCATGAAATTTTATATATACATATTTATTCTTCGCATTAAAAGAATCTGTACATTGCTTTCTATAATAATTATATAATATTTAATCAAATTATATAATTTAACCAAATTATATAATATTTAATCTAGGTAAAGATCATAAGCATAAATAAAAAAAAATAGAAACATTTCAGGAAAACAGCATATCTTATCTATAATTTATTTAATAAAATAAATAATAATAAATGCTAATAGTTAACTATACTTACTTATTCTTACACACGCAAAACACGCAAATCTCACTCTAATTTTTTATAACCTATCCATTTATGTTGATTGATAACTTGGCTTTACATTAGCAAAAACATTTACATAATATATTCAGATATATTGCACGATTACGTGTAAAATATACATATATGTAATTTTGTATCGATAAGCTCAAAAAATTTTTTTTCACCATTATTAAAAAATAACAGTTTCATCATTAAAAAAAATAAAAAAACCACATTAAAAAATATTTGCACATGTTGTTAACTTTTTGTCAAAAGACAATTTATGGATAAACAAGAAGCTCGTTAAAGCAAACTAATTCACTGTTCTATATATCTCTTATGACGATGGCTTTAAATTATACGTCCATCAGTTTATTTAATTTAATTGATTATCGCCTTGCCCAATTAATGAAAATGATAGAGTAAAACGTGTCGCGAGTTCGCGCGATCGTAATGATACGATGACAGGTGCGTCACACGTATTTTATTGCAACCAGATAAGATCGGTGGCTGACGCTTGCCGCATAACTTACGAGCAATAAGTCGTTATAATTTAGATGACGATCTCGCAGCCCAGGGCGGAATAAGGTCCGTTTGCTTCGCGGTGTTCGTTGCGTAGCGCGTGATCACGCTTTCACACCTTTAATTATAAATACATATCGCGAGCTACTTGTATAAGAATCTATATAGTATCGGGATATTTAACATGGCATATCTAACGAGTTAGACTATCACCGTTTCAATTAGAACGATTCGTTTAACCCATTTCTCGAGCCTTCAATTATTGTGTAACGATCTTTTAACCTGGCAAAGAGTAATTTTCTGTAAATGTGGAAAAACAATAATTAGCATGTATATTATAAAATACAAGAATTGTGCGAAATATTCTCTTAACGCTTCCTATCTAATGAAGAATATAAATAATAGTTCTTTGTTACGAGAAATTTTTTTTTTGTTAATGAATATTAATGAAAAATAGAAAGAAGATAGAGATAAAATCGAAATTGATTATCAAGTTATGGAAAATTCTTTTCTTTATATAGCTTTTTATATACACATAGATACATCAGAGATAAATTATTCTTGAGCTATTAAACTCAATATTCAACGCACATGTCCTTCATGTTTCACAACGGTGACAGACAAAAATTATAAAGCTTGATTTATTGGAATATCGCATCGTTTGTGCGCAATTAAACAAAAAATACGGGCTGTTGCGTGAGATATTCATGAAGGCATATCCGAAAATGATACTTATTTCAATATCTGATATAAATCTTCACGCTTGCGGTATTAATATATTCCACGGCTATGTGGCTATTCCATAGGTGGCTTCAAGAAAGAGAACGTGAATTTTTATCCACCACAGAGCCCATGGCCCCCTCGTGAGAGCCCTCATCAAGGTTTAGTTCCTACTTAACTTGGGTTATATATGTAAACGCGACCAAATCGTTAACCATCTTACCTGTATTCTCTATGGCCTGTGGTTCGAAAGAAATTTAAGCCGGTGGAATGCAGCCGGCCGTTAATAGCTTGCGAAGATCATAACTCTTCGAGACTATGTTATTTGTATTAGCCATTTCTTCAAAGCAAATCGCTGAAAATGACTTGTAAATCGGCCGATAAGAAATAGACGGATAATCGTCGGAACTTGTCCGGGGATCAAGCGGACCTTTTCGCAAGATTATTTCTAAGAAGGATTACAGCGGTACAAGAATTAAAATTGATCGAAACATTCCCAGTAACTTAGAATACTTGAAATCAAAGACAAATGTATAAAAAAAATTATAGAAATTTTCTTTTTAATATGTTAAAAGATTTAGCCTCAACTGTATTGGTCTTTTCCTTATTTATTTTATTTCAGATCTTATTTATTCATAGCGGTCTAGATTAATATACTATATTATTGAATATATTAAAAGTTTTAAAAGTACATAAAGAAAAAAGATATGAGCAAAAATACATGTAATTTGACTTGTTAAAAAATTCAATTTATAGCATATTAAATTATGTTAAATTATGTTATTCTTTGCTAATGATGTTTCTTGCTAATAATGAATATATCCTGCTTTAAAAATCATCCCTTCAGTAATAAACTTGCACTTTATTCTCTCAATAAAGGTACAATAGAAATATCGGCTGTACAATGTTTGAGTATCTGTCAGTTTAAAATTGGACAGGGAGAGTGCATGAGAAAAAAATGAATTGCCTCTTCCCCTGTCTCCACCCCACATATACATCCACATAAAAAAAAAGATACAGTGAGGGGTACGAAAATGGTGAAATGGTGGGAGTGAAAAAGCTGCTCGGTCCGCTCGCGGCGTACGAGAGAATTGGACCAATCAGGGTCGTGGGTTTCAGGACGCGAGGCACTATTAATCCCGGAGGATTTGCCATGGAGTTTTTGCGTTCGTGATCTGAACTCGGGGTGGCGTTGCGGTTGGAGCTGCGGTTTGATTTATCTCCAACCGCTTCTCACGCAACCGCGATAACTCACCGGCCCTTAATTTCTATTTTTCGCCCTGTTCGACCATCCCTTCCCACCCCCCCTTACCCTCCCCCGCCTGCATCGTCACCCATGCTCCTTCTGCTTCTTCATCGCGATCGTCGGTACTCATATACTCGAGTACTTGCGTTACTCGATGTTGCTACATACAAGCGACCTCGATCCAATCGACATGAATTAATCGTACCGCAGATTCTTTGCCGTATCTCTGCCCCCTTCCCTTCGATAGTAATGCAATGTCTGGACCTTGCGGTAATGATATAGATTAACCCTCTCATTATCCTGCAAAGCACTCGATAACCGCGATATATTAGATAATTTCTGAACGATTCCATGAAACACAAAACAACTAAAAACAATTAATATTACTCTTTGAAATGTTTTGTATCTGCGAAATAAAAGGTGTCTTGTAAAATGAGTCGAGATATGAAATACACGAAGCAGCACCTTCATTATCTCGCTATCAGAGAATGAAGAAGAAAGTCTTATAATTTCCTTCCGTACTGGATCCGCCATGTGGGAAAACGGCCAGGAAGTACGACCACTGAATGCGCAACAAATAAAAAACAACCAAACGCGCTGCACTAGATCCTATAACCGGAAGTCCACGCCATTCATTTTCCCGGGAAAATGAGAAATTGATGGATCGTGGGTGGAGCAGCGATGGCGTCGAGAGAATGAGCAAGAACGTGAACGGCGTCGGCCCAATGGAGAGAAGAAAAAGAATGGGAACGTAGTGAGAACGCGCAAATGACGATACGATGACGATGCGCGCGAGCTGTCGGTCATAAGGGAAGAATGAATAACGAGAGGCCAGCAGCCATTTCGACGCCGCTTGCGATGCCAGCAGGATATTATCGATTACGCTGAGCGCTCATGGCGATCCATCAGGAAGCACGCTGAATCTCGATGTTTCGCTCACGTTTGTTTGCCGATCATTGCCAAGGACGCGCCACATTCAATCGATTATAGAGATGATAATTATTTATTATTAGTTTTATTAATAATGATACGAAATAATTTATTAAATAGAACAAATAAAACGCAAGCATTATTTTTTGTACAGATTCATACATTTTGATAGATTATAATTTTTCTGTAACGTGTGAGAACGTGTAAAACAGAATGCGTCTTTGGCATGAAATTATATCTGCGAGATCGTAATAGATTGATATCCATTTGTAGATTACATCTCGTTTAATGCATTCATCGCAGCGAAATGACTCGCTTGAAATCTCAACGTCATCAATCTTATTGCCAACGATTGTGTGTATCGCTGACTTAATTCGAGAAAGCATTCGATAGGAAAATTAGCGGCATTAAATCGTCGGCATTTGACATATTATATTTTCAAGATGCATTTATATGTTGAGTTATGCCTCCTCGACGGCACAATTCGTAGGTGAGACGCACCTACGAATGACGTGCTCTTCACTGCGCGGCTTCTTCTACATCGAAACTCGAAAGACCTCGCCTAACTAGTTCTGGTCTCAGGACCTTCAGGCAATTCGATCCTACGTAATTGCCTCCACGGCTTCCCCTTGACCTCGACTTCGGCTTCGTCGTATCCAACGATTCTATCACGTCATTTTCTACGCTTAAATGACTGGATCTTTTTGAATCTTTACTTTCCTTTAGACTCGCGTCATCCCTCTTTTCGTTTGCCTGGTCAAAATAATTAGCAATTATAATTAAAGATATTAAGAGACCGTGTTAAAATTACTGCTTATTTAACGGCAAAATATTACCTAATATTCAACGTATTAGAAACAAGAGAGAATATAATTGTAACTTAAAGCAAGAATTATTAATATATGCTAAATCAAACTATTTTGGAAAGATTGATGATATCATGTCATTAATTAATATTCTGAAATCAATTAAGAGACACGTACTGGTCGAAGCCAAGCGTACTCTGAAATTGATTCAATCATCATACTTGTCTATATTCGAGACGCACGTGCGATAAAGTTCGCACTTGTATATCACTGATCTTTTTCAATTTGTTACTTTTTCAATTTGTCACTCTCAACATGTGCCAATTATTCTCTTTGCCAATTAATAAGGAGTTATGATAAAACAAAATTTTATGTCGCGTGATGCAAACTACTCAAAAAAATTGAAAATTGCTATTAATCTTCTTAGCTGTCATTTAGCGAAGAATTTTTTTGAGCATATACCACCTGAATCTACACTTCTTGTTGCAGTCACTCATTTTTACGTCAATCATGAAAGCACAGTCGGATTATCGATCATTTGTTCTATTGTGTTTATTACTTGTTGTTTGCCGAGATATGAAATTTGTTCTGACATTCTTACAGTATGCGATAATACATAAGATTTTATCTAACTGTTGCTCGATCATACAAACAAAACAAAAATAAATTTACCTCAATTATGTTTATACAATAGATAAGTAATCTTTTGCTTTTAATAAAGGCAATAAAAATTAAGATTACTTATTGATTCATTTACCACTGCATACTTTTTCATATAATTTATATTACATATAATTACATATAATTTATTACTATACTATAATTATATATATATAATTAAAACTTTCAAAAAAATTTTCTAAGAAAAGAGTTAGATGTAACAAATAATTAAAAGTACCTATATAATATTTTCATTGAGATTTTCTGTTTAAACATCGCAATTCAATTTACAATAGAGAAATTAATAACAATGGCTTATTTGAAAAACTCATGGAGGAATGTCGACAGACCTATAGATATACCATGCTATTAGAATAAACAGTTATCGATTAGACGGATGTAATCGCGGAGGAAGATCTTAGCGAGCAAGAAAACGGTTTTGGAAGGAGGTGGAGCTTAACTGGCCAGGGTGTGGCCCTCGAAGTACTCCCGAGGGTAGTTAGCACATGTAGGAAACATAGTAGAGGGGCTGAAAATGATTTAGGTTCCTCGGATGTTGAGGGAGGGCCGGGGAGAGCGGGCAGCGACACAGTGGTGGTGTTCGATGAGGGGGTTGGTTTCAATATGAGCCAGCTGGCGCCTCGCACGCGGATCATCGCTGATACCTATGTTCCATTTCGATGGAAAGCGGGTTTATGTTCTACGTTTTGCTACCGCCGCGCCAGGGAAAAAAACAACGATCTCTCGCACTTGATACCAGATTCAGTCGCAATAACGTGGCAGCCAAGAGACGGCCCGAGATGAAAAATTGATTCCAGACTGAGAGCACAAGGGAAATTATGTGGTATAATCCAGAAGTTCAATCGCCCAACAACCACTTAATAAAGATATTTATACATTCCAAGGTATTTGATCAAACTCAGAATTAATTTTTTCTTACTAAAAATATGTCGAGAGGTTCTTTTTTGTGATACTCTGACTTTTAATATTATAAAAAAGAATTACTAAATAAAAAGTATCTTAGTAAATATGGAATCTCCTATGTATCTTTGGAAAGTTTGCATGTTGGAAAATAATATCAAAATGTTAACAATATTAAGTAAAAATCGAGTAAAAAATGTTCAACATAACGAAGAAAATCAAATTTCAGCTGATATTTTTCAATAAATTTTCAATAAATCAATAAATTCTTTACAGTGTTTTAAAGATGTTTATATTAATATTAATAATATTGGATTGTTTATCAATTTAATTTGTTATATTACATACTTCTTTAATTCAGGACCGACCGAAAATAATCGGCGCGTTTGAGCTTAAATTAGAAATTATAAATTCATACAAAATATTAAATATCAAAACCTGTTTTGACCGGATGTGGCTTTGTTTGGATTCCCATCCGGATGTCAAATCTCCGGGTGTCAAGTCATCTTTGTGATGGGAATCTAAACATAGCCTTGCATTTTACTAACTTTTTTATTTTCATTTAACATAGACTCTTTTATATAAATTTTGCAAATCGCTCTTTATATTATTGACGTTAAATAAATGTTTTTTGTATAAAAGTTATTGCATAAAAAAAACATCAAAAAATTTCATGGAATGATCATAAAAACGACAGCAATAATACGTACAACTTCCGTCTTTAAACTCTTTTGTGCATTGACCACCGTGATGTCCTTGCGAAATCGTCGGAACCTTGTTCGAAACTGTCCAAATATTTCTAACAGAAGGACGAGATTGAACGGCGGATTGAATGGCGCGTGTCGTCCCCAGCGGGACGTAAAGCTTCGGTGTCGCGAAGGGATCGAGAGGGCAACCCGGCGCGCCCTTGGGCGACAAAAGGACAGCCGCTAAACGGCGCACCGAAAAACACGGCTACCGCCTACTCGATCGTTTGTAATGCCGCATTGTCGATGTCGTTGTCCTTTACCGTGGTCGTCTTACACGTCACCGGCGATTGCACAAAGAGCGCCAGCCGAGACCGACAATGCGCAAGATTTGTCCAAGCAGACATCCCGCGGCCGTCACAATGGCGTACGCGTCAGAGTGATCCACGTGCGTTTGCACAGCTTTGAAGCCCCCCCCGAAGTCTCGTGCAGCGTTTTTCCGGTTTTGAATTTCTCTTGCGCGTATTGTTTGTTGCCACATTCGTTAGAACGCTCATGATTTCGATATTTTATATGAATATATACTGCGCACAGGTAATATATCAAATAACACTTCCTATATGAAAGAATTATCAAATCAAATTATCTATCGTTACACTTAATTTCCATTTTACTATTTAATTTTCATTATTTAAAGTTCTTACTATTTCGGAAAAAATCTATCAAATTGTCAAAGTATCATTAGCATTATGTTTGTATTTACGTTTTAGTAGCTCTATAAAATTGTCGATTAGCATAATCCATTGTCAATTACTGCTCATTTATCTTTATGTTTATTGTACTTTTTATATACTACGACATTCAGTTTAAGTCTTTACGATCCGTTATCTTCTATCGATGGCCGAAAGAAACCACAACCCACATCCACTCCTCTCTTTCTCAGCCCTTCTGACTTTTCTCTTTTAGCCGTGCGAGAACACGCGAGGAATCGAAACTCCGCGCTCCAACTCAAAAGTTGCACCAGCACAATGAGACAAGACAGGCCGCGCGAGTCAGCCAACGAGGCTGGTTTCCAACACCTGGCAGCCCTGAAGCGATTCGCCTTAGAAATCGGAAATACAAATTGTCTGAGGGTGGAGTGAAGGGATGTGTGTTGTAGGGAAAAAAACCACAAATCATCCCCTCCGGCCCGTCCATCCTGCGGACGTTCTCTCTCTCTCACTATAGTCGCGCGAGTGAATCCAAAATGGCGATAACGAGCTCCTTCTTGCCCTCGACAAGCTGTTGTTGTGCGGTGAAAGTCAAAAATTCGATGTCCCGTCGCGTCGTCGGGGGATCTATTGTGAGTTAACATGCAATAATAAACCTCGTGTGAACTTAACCGATTACTTACGAGCATGTTGAATTTCAAAGCATCACAGTGACTATAGATTTTCTTCTCGAGTATTTTAAGACTTTTAACTTTATCTTTTTACTTTTATCTATATTAAGGCAAAGAATTTGTACGAATATTCTTTCCACTTTTATCTTTTTACAAATTTAATGATATACCTCAGATATATTTTTGGATTTTTTTTCAATTTTTATTCAATTTACATACTTTTATTTACATTTTTTACGATAAAGACAACGTGTCCGCATATATAAGCAACGCTTTGTAGAACCGAATAAATTAATAAACGATACGATAAGAAACGCGCTCGGCTTATCCCATCGAATGTTAACAACGATTACTCCGTTTCACTTGATTGACTTAATCATGACGCTCACATCGACCGTCATATTTCTCGCTGCAACTCGTTCGCGAAACGGACGGGACCAATTATTAGATAGTATGTTAATGGGGCATACACGTTTACGAGGTAATGTATTAATAGGATGAACCGCGCGCCAGGTAATTATTTTCGCGTTACTCCTTGCGTGCCTCGCTCTCGTACGTAGTAATTCGATTCCCTTCGTTTTAACGCGCGATTTTTCACCGTGCCAAATTGAACGTCGTCTCGTTACCTCGCGAGCGAAGTCAAATTCGCCTCGCGAATAATAACCGTACATCCCTCTCTTTATGCCCGTGTCGCCTGCCATTCAAATCTCTCGCAGGCGAGATCTCGAACCGGCTACATTCTTGGCACGCCAATTAGCACTATGGACACAGCGGATATTTATTTCAATCTTCGTCAAGTATCGCCACATTCGCGGTAACCTTTTCCTCAGAATTGCCGGATTTATCTCCAGCAGCTTTCTTGATATCGAAATTTTTGCGATCACGCATTTCATAAATTCTGATCCGTATAGTTAACAGCCCAACGTTAAATATCTTTTTTTTCTTTTTCGGATATGAAAAAAATGCGACAAGTATAAAAGGACCAAAATTATAATAATAATAATAACAGATAAAACAAAAATATTAAAAAATAATACATATGTTTTCTCTTGAAAGAAAGTTTCAGAAATCCTAATTCGAGAACGATGTTTTCTGAAACTGCTGTCATAAAAAACAATGCGTACACTTAATATTAAAATAATTTCAGAAACCTTTTCATAATCTTTTCTAAAATTTTTTTTCCAGATTGTACTTGCATACTCGTGAAAATAAAGACGAATTATGAATCAGTCTGCGTTCATGTCGACCCAGATCCGTCAGAACGTAACGCCAGAGAAGTTTCAGATCAGTTCCGGCCAG